GAACACCGCGGGGGTGCGTGGTGGGGGTGCGCGGGAGTGCGTGGTGGGTGCGCAGCGTCCTAACAGCGCGGGGTCTCGGCTTCTGTCTCCACGCAGCAGCTCAGCTCTCAGGGACGGGGTCGGGACCCTGGGAGCTCCTGGCAGGGGCGCAGCTGCCGTAGGGGTCCAGGAGGCGGAGAAGGGAGGCGGGGAGAGGCTCTGGTGGGGGCTGCAGGGCACTGGGGCGGGCATATGCCCCCGCACAGGAGGCCCCCCCCCCCCCCGGCCACCACCGCCCCCCCCACCCGGCCTCTGCATCGCCCTCATGGCTAGGACTCGCCTGGTGACTTTTCTGAGCCCGGAGATCCTCGCTTCGTCAAACCACACTCAGAAAACGCTATTGATTTTCTTTTTTTTATTTATGAGAATTTTGCTGTGGGCAAAAATAAAAAGGTCTGTGCGGCGTTGCCTGGGCTGTGAGAGGTTTTCTCGGCCTCCCGCCTCCCTCCCTGCCCACTCGTCCCTGCGTTCACGTTTGCACGAGGCAGGGGCAGGCAGGGGCGAGTGGGGCTGGGTGTCCTTCCCCCCGGGAGCGCCCGCACACGCCGTGCCGGGTGCTGGGCCGTTCTCATAAGGAACGTGCAAGGTGGATCTGATTGTCCTTGTTCAGTGGTGAGGTTCAGAGAGGCTCGCCACCTTCCCCGAGGTCGCCCAGCACCCAGCGGTCTCCTCCGTGGGCGCAGAGGGCGCAGGGCCAAGGACAGGAGGGGGCTGCCCCTGATCCTGGCGGAGCCCGCAGGGACTGGGGCGGTCTGTCCCGGCCTACACCCCCCTGCTCCCCGCAGCAGGGTTGGGCTGGCCTCCCCAGGGAACTCCAACCGGGAGGCCAGAGGTCTCCTTGGGGCTTGCGCTCTGTGGGCCCCACACTGCGCTGTGGGGGCTTACGTGCCCCAATCTGACCGGGCACACACGGGCTCCTATGGACGCCCCCCACCCCGCGTGCCGGGTCCTCCCGCACTCCTGCCGGCCCCCCAGCGTTAGTGCCGGGCCTGCTCACGCTGTGACTGTTGACTGACTCCAGCCCGCGGTGAGCTGTCCCGTCCCGTGCGCTGTGCCCCCCCCCCCCGCTTGCGCTGGAAGGATGGACGTCCATCCCGACGTGAGCTGGGAGGCCCGGCCCGGTGCGCACCCACATGCTTCTGTCCCCCTCGCTCCTGGCAGGAGTTTCCACTGGCCATCCTGCGGGGCTGGGAGTGCTACTGCGCTTACCCCACGCCTCAGTTCAGCCTTCGGGACGCCGTGGACAACTCGCTGTGCGGCCAGGAGCCCGAGGCACAGAGCCTGGCCCAGTACTGCGAGGTCTACCAGACGCCCGTGCAGGGTGAGTTTAGCGCCTGGGGGACGAGGTGTGCGGGGACCTCCCCACCGCGTCTACCATGGTGTGTGCTCCGGGGGTTTGGAGAGGCCAGCGTGGCCGCGTGCAGTCCTGGGGCGGGGGGGGGCCTCCACCATCCCTGGAGGCTGGACACGGGACGCTCCTGGCCTTGACCCGACTCTGGGGACGGAGGTAGTCCGAGGAAGAGCAGGAGAGCGGTGAGGTGGGGCCAGCCACCCCCTGCAGAATCCGGAGCGTTACGCGCTGTGCGGGGAGCCAGGGCCCGCTGCCCGGGGCATGGGAGGCCTGACTGGCCCCAGGCCTGTGCAGCCAACCCCTCCCCTCCCTGGGCCTGCCTCAGTTTCCCCGTCGGTGTAGTGGGAGCCTCAGGGCAGCGGGTCCCGGTGGGGCGGTCGGTGGTCAACCTCTGGACTTTCAGACACTCGCTGCACGGACAGGCGGTTCCTGCCCACCAAGTCCAAGGTGTTTGTGGCTCTGTCAAGCTTCCCGGGAGCCGGGAACACGTGGGCACGGCACCTCATCGAGCACGCCACAGGCTTCTACACGGGGAGCTACTACTTTGATGGGACCCTGTATAACAAGGGTGAGTGAGGGCCAGGGCAGGGGTCCCCAGCTGTGGGGCAGGACCTGTCCGCACGGCGGTCTCGGTCTGTAGGTGGCCAGGGGGCCCAGGGGCTGGACCAGCCACGTGGGGTGGCCCCCGAGGTTCCCCCTCTGAGGCTTCCGGGACTGGCTCAGGGTGGCCACTGGCCTCTGTACCAACCCACCAGTGACACGCACCGTTGCCCGGCCTGTCCTGGGCAAACGTGGCCCATGTGACGGGCGAGAGTGGCCGCTGTGGGGACAGCCTGCCGCGCGCGGAAGCCACCGCGGGTGTCAGGGTGTCGGGGACTAGATCCCGTGTTTACAGCCCGTGGTCTGGCTCCTCCTTCCCTGGAGCATCCCAGCGTTTGACAGGAGCCCCGGCGAAGGCTGACGGGGTTTGGCGTGTTGAGTTCCAGTGGGTGAACTCCCATTCGGAGGAGCCTGGTTTCCTGGCATCAAAGAACCCATCCCTGCTCGTTGCACCTTCACGTGCTCCCCAGCTGCTCACGAAGCGGTGGTGCTGGAGCTCATCGGCGTCCCCAAGAGCCCAGGAGAAGCACATGCTCCTTTACGGAGCACAGGTCCCAGGCTCGCAGACCCCGGATCTGTCGGGACGTGGCCAGAGTAAAGGTGCAGGGGCACTTGTCCAGGGGTCCCTCTGTGACATCATGCTGCACCCCCTGACCCGTGAGCCCCTGTGCTCGACAGGACTGCACGCGAAGCCCCTCCCTCCGCAGCGTGAAGCCCACCGCAGAACGAGCACACAAGCGTCCTGTTGACCTGTGTCACTCTGCTACGGTGGGGAGGGCGGGGGGCCCCGCTGCAGGACCACAGCATAAGGTCTGACAGCCCTCGCACTTGGTGACGGGGATCACGCCCCCACTGCCGGGGAGGGGGTGGAAGCCAGGCCTCCCAGGGACACACATGCCATGTGCCTAGAGCCCTGCGCTGCGGTGTGACCCTGGGCAAGTCTCGTAGCCAATCTGAGCCACACTTGCAGCCACCACAAACTCGTGGGTTGTTTGTGGTGCTTGGGGGACATCTCCATGCAAATGCCCACATGCACGCACCTCCAGCGTCCAGAGGGGTGTCAGGCCCCTGCCCCCCGACTTCTGGGGTCTCCCGGAGGCATGTTCAGCTCTGCCTGCTGCCGTGGCAGGGGCCCGACACCATCCTCAGGGGCCTCCACTCTCCCCGCAGGGTTCAAGGGCGAGAAGGACCACTGGCGCAGCCGGCGCACCATCTGTGTGAAGACCCACGAGAGCGGCCGGAGGGAAATCGAGATGTTCGACTCGGCCATCCTGCTGATCCGGAACCCATACAGGTCCCTGGTGGCCGAGTTCAACCGCAAGTGTGCCGGGCACCTGGGCTACGCGGCCGACCGAAACTGGAAGAGCAAAGGTAGGCAAAGGGGGCGGGCAGCCCGTGGCGGGGAGGGGGGAGGGGGGCGACCCGCCCCACAGTGTGGCCGAGACACGGGTCTGGGGGGCGAGTGTTAGGGCATGGAGCTGTCAGAGGGAAGCTGCATCCAGCAGGTGCGAGGCCGTGGGGCAGGCAGGCCCGTCCCTGCAGGCTCGGCCCCGGCTGATGCCTCCCGTGGCCTCCAGCCGACCCTGCCCCTTGCTGACTCCCCGGATGCAGGAGGCTGAGCTCTGGTCCCTCCTTGGCTCTTGTGAGCCTCAGTTTACTCATCTGAGACAGCAGGGTGGTCTCTATCTTGGAGTCATTGTTGAAGACCAGGGAAAGCGAAGGCTCTTCACGGCATCTGAGGTGTGCGGCCTGGATAGTTACACCAGCAGTGCTTGTTGACATTTGCGCCTTTTCCCACCAAAACAAAAAGCCCACCAGCTTTGTGATTTGCTAGGATAGAAATCTCACGGAATAGATCATCCGCAAAAGTTGGCGGCTGCCCGGCAGCGTCACAGGGTAGACTGGCCACCCCCCCCCCGCCCCCAACGAGACAGGTCGGCATCAGGCAGGGACCAGGTTCACTTAGCTTCACAGGAGGCCCCGGGGCAGGCGATCGGGCCTGCGTGCGTCCACGTCGCACCCCTGCTCATCCCGGTCACCCAGGGCAGGTGAAGGTGGATGAGGGTCAGCCCATTTCCCACTTGTCATTAACACCACTGTGCCACGTGGGCCCTGTGGCTCTCCCTGCCCCAGCGTGGGCCCAGCGGTCATGGCACTCACCGTCCACGAGAGAGGGGACCAGTTCTTGGCACACATCGTCCACGTCTGTCCTCACGTGGTGCTGCCGTGGCCATGGAGGCAGCCACAGCCACGTGACCCAGGCTGGCCCGGGGGTGCTGCTCTTAACTGCCCGCGGGTCGTCAGGAGGGCCTCATCCGTGGGGCCCTCGCCTCCCTGCCCCGAGCGCCCAGGAGGCGGGCCTGATGGGCGCCTTCTCTCCCGCGCAGAGTGGCCGGACTTCGTGCGCAGCTACGCGGCGTGGTGGTCCTCACACGTGCTAGACTGGCTGCGGTACGGCAAGCGGCTGCTGGTGGTGCACTATGAGGAGCTGCGGCACAGCCTGCTGCCCAAGCTGCGGGAGATGGTGGCCTTCCTCAATGTGTCCGTGAGTGAGGAGCGGCTGCTGTGCGTGGAGAACAACAAGGAGGGCAGCTTCCGGCGGCGCGGCCGGCGCCCCCACGACCCTGAGCCCTTCACCCCCGAGATGAGGGCGCTGATCGACGGCTACATCCGGACGGTGGACAAGGCGCTGCGTGACCACGGCGGGGCCGGGCTGCCGGGCGAGTACGTGCCCAGATGACGGCCCGGGCGCTGCCCCGCAGCCTCGCTGGGGCCCAGCTGCTGGAGCCGCCACAGGTCCCTCTGTGCTCACAGACACGTCTGCACGCTTGTGGGCCACGCGGGCTGGGCTGGGCCCTTTCAGACCTGCAGACGCCGGCCCGCCCGTGCACGCTGCGCTCCCAGTCCGGCTTCCTGTTTCGCGCTGCAGACTCGCTGCCAGGGTCCCCGCCCCCGGACGCAGGGCTAGGTGGGCATTGGCGCCGTGGGCAGCGAGCACCCCAGCGTGGGCATGAGCTCACGGATGCTGCTGGACCCCGCGACCCTGACGGCACCTCAGATGCCCCATGAACACGTGTAGCGTGGCCACCAGGCATCCCGGGGCACAGCTCTACGTTTCCCTTCTCTGCAAACGGGCTGGCAGCGCTCGACAGAGTCGACCCCCCGCCACCGCTGCACACTGACCTCAGGACCTGCCACAGCTCTGTGCACCCCCCACCCTGTCCAACGGCAGCACTCCTTGGAGGGGCCCCCTTGCCTTGCCTTTCCCTCCCGTGTCCCAGAGGCGGGGTGTGAGGGAGAGGGGGCATGGGGCCAGAGGGGCTGGCCTCCAGGGGAGCCCTGGACCCAAGGGGCACACAGGCCTGCAGGGGGGGCTTGGGGTGCACGTGGGGAGACCCAGGAGGGACGGGTCTTGGGGATCACTTGGCCATGTCCCCCATCCACACAACCCTCGAGGGAGGGGCCGTGGCCAAACCCTCAGTGTTCACCCCCCGGCGGGCCCTGGGGCTCGTTACCACGCCCTCTGTCTCTGCGTGAGGTTGATGTCTTATTCACTCACCCCTGGAGGAAGGGCCCTCACGGACGCCGCAGCCTGCTGTGTGCTAGCCCGGTGGTGTGTGTGTCGGGGGGAGTGGTAGGAAGGCCCCCCGCCCCAGCTCGCAGCCTCGGGGGGCAGGGGAGGCTGATCACAAACAGGAGTTAACCCAGTAGCAGAGGAGTGTGCGTGCGCTCAGGGTCTCCATGCCTGTGCTCCGGAGAAATCTGTAGGAATTTCCCCAGCAGAGCAGAGGGAAGGGCATTAAGGCAGAGAGAACAGTGTATGCCAAGGCTCAGAGGCTTGGAGAACGGGTGTGGGGCGTGTGTGTCTGAGTCTGTGCAGCCGGCGTTGGGGTGGTGGGTGAGGACAGAGGTGAGGACACACAGGGACTGTCCTCACAGTGACCTGGTGCTCAGCCTGGAGGGACAGAGCTCCCTTCAGAAGCCGACCCTCGGGTTCAGAACGAGGCCGTGCAGACCAGGGCTCCGGTCTGGGGGTGGGGGTGGACCCCTGCGAGGTGGGTGATGGTGGGTGGGCCCCTCGGCAGCTTCTCCAGGCTTCGGGTGACCGTGGCTGGGCCCCTTGGTCTGACCTCCCGCGACCTGAGCCAAGCTGCACCAGGGGAAGTAAACGGGGAGAGGTTTGGGGAAACCAGCATTGGAATGTCCTGACTCTGCACCCCCCGCCAGCTGCAGGAAGCCGTGAGCCACCTCAGTGAGGGCAGGTGGCTGGGGGGCCCAGCGGGCTGCCCTTCTTCAGAGGGAGGCCTCCACACCCGTCCCCGGCTCCACCAAACCCACACTGGTGCTGAGCCTGTCCGGGCCCTCCCACAGCCGCTCTCGGCGTAACGCTGGAAATGCCGGGTCTTGCTAAACGTTTATTGGCACGGCTCTGGCTCCGCCATCGAGGCTGGGACGGCCCCTCATAAGCGGTGTCTCTGGTGTCGTAGGAAGAGGTGAGACCTGCCGCGAGGCCCCACCTGCTGTGGAAGGCGGCCCAAGGGACACCTGCGCCCCCCAAGCAACCCTAGAGTCTCGAGGGGATGGAGGGCCGGATGCTGGCTGCCTCTTGAGATTGGCTCCCAGATCTGGCCCCCACTCCTCCCGGCCGCCCGGGAGACTTCGGGGAGAAAACCCGGACTCCAGGGAGGCTGGGAAGGGCAGAGGTGTGGCTGGAGGGCCAATCCACGCTGGCCCTCAGGCCTCCCACTCTCCTGCCCACCCTGGGGTCAGGACAGCAACAGCCTGCGCCTCACCCCGGTAGATGGTTCATTTCCTGCTGCCAGGTGCCCAGAGACCTCCCTTCCTTCCCGGGGGAGAGCTAGCTGCTCAGACAGCCTGGCAGCTTCCAGGGCACCTCAGCCAGCCCTGCAGAAGAACAGAACGACGGGGTCAGCCTGCACCGGCTCACACTGAGTCCGTGCACACAGTTGGGCGCCCGACACGGGGATGGTGCTCCTGGGTGTCCGATGAGCAAGGACGTGCAAAGGCCCTGCTGCTGATTCTCCGCGGCTGTCACCACGGCCTGCCCCTGGGGGAGAGCCTGTCCATTTGTCTCTGGAAGTGAGACCTCCTCAAGCTCTCAGCTTCCCCATCGAGCCTCGGCCGCCCCAAGCAGCCAGGGAGCAAAAGCCAGTGTGAATTTGGGGGAGAATTGTGGCAAAACCCTACTTCCTGCAGATTCCACCTTTAATGACGAGGCTGTGAAATCACATAAACCTGTGTTAAGACGTGTAATCTCCACGGTTTTCATCTCCCGTTGTGGATCAATTTGGAAACACCAAAATATATAATTTTAAAAACCTAAAACACATTTTTGATAATCCCAGTGATGTGTAAATGAGACAGAAGAATAGACAGGCTTCCAGACCCCGGGAAGAAAGCTGCTTAATTATGTGAGCATCTTGTAATGAAGCCTCTTGCAGCTAAAATTAGATCCTGAGTGCATGAATATGTGATAATGTTTGTACACCAGAATGCATTTTCCCCTTAAACTGTGGCAGGAGCTCCTTGGTTCTTGGGGGACCCTGGGTCTGGGGAGATGGGAGTGCTTGGGGGGGTCCTCGTGGCTGCAGGAATGCTTGGGGCACAGGCGTGTTTTTCTGCGGCTGGAAAATCCCCAGGGGTCTAGCAGGAAACTGATGGGTCTGGGGCCACACTGCTCACCGCTCCCAACAGGACCAGTTGGCCTCTACAAGGCGGAAATGGAATGGAAGGCAGACTGCGAGCTGGGCAGGACCGTGCCCCCCTGTTCCCACCCCCGTTTCCTTCCCCAGTAGCCCCCGTCTCCAGGGGTTGGGGGGGATTCACGTTCATCACCATCTCTGCGGTGGGGCCCCCGGCTGGACAAAGCCAGCGGCTCCTTCCGTCTCTGGTGATGGGCAGGTTCAGGGATGGTCCTGTGAGCTACAGGGGTGTGGCCGGAGGGCATCTCAGGCCGTTGGGAACGTGCGCTGCTGGTGGGAGGGGAGGTCGGCGGCCCTGGGCCTGCAGAGGGGCCCACCCTCCGGTGACACTGGTTCTGCCGCAGGGGCGGTCGGGGGCACAAGGAGCCAGGAACTTGGCATTGTTAAGAACGCTCAAGCTTTGCCTGCGATCAGCCTTCCCTCTGGACGGTTTTGTTACATGAGCCAATAAATCCCCTGTTCCCCTCGGGTTCAGTCAGGCTTTTGTTCCTTACGGTCTGCAGGCTTGGCGCCAGGTCCTGTCCGTCTGTGGTTGATGGAGATGGAGGCTGAGCCTCGGCCCAGTTCAAGCTGGGGGGCCCGGGACGGTGCCTTTTCCTGGAGCAGAGACCTCATACCGCATGCGCCTCGGTGGGGGGAGAGATTTGGCTTCTGAGCTGAGCGGCCCAAAGCGCAAGCCCTCTACTTCACAGACGAGGGACCTGGGACTCCCACGAGGTCACCCTGGAAGGACGGGCACGCAGAGCGAGGGCGGGAACGCGGGCTCCTTCCGCGAAACCACCTGACCGCCCTTCTGCTGCATCCCTATAAGTCTTGGAGGCGTCGCCACAGACGGGGCAAGTGTGCAGAGCCAGCTCATTTGGAAGCGACCCCATTAATCTCTCTGCTGGTTCCTTGCCAGAGTACACTTTGGTGGGTGCCCGAGGTCAGCGCCGAGGGCCATTTTATCAGAGCGTAGCCAGGACTTGAAGACCTGCCCAGACGGAGCAGGGAGAGGGACTGTGCCCGGGGGTTCGTCCTCCGTCCCGGGCATCCCAGACGCAGAAGGGTTCTGCTCCCTCGGGGGGTTCGCCTGCAGGACGGGCGGGTGCGCCCCCTCATCGCGGGCCAGCCCTCCTGACCAGGAGACAGGCACCCGGTCACCCGGACGTTGGCACCAGGTTCCCACAGTCTGAGCCCCGCACCCGGCTGACGCGGTGCGGTTGGCCAGAGGTTGAGATCACACCCCAGCAGCATCAGCTGGGCCACTTCTCCTTTGCCGTGAGACAAGTTGCCACGAACCCAGCAGCTCAAGGCCACCCCCAGGCATCCTCCCCGGCACCCGTGGGTCGGGCATCCGGGTGGACCTCCGTGGGCCGCCCGCCATCAAGGTGGTGTTCCCGCTGGAGGCTGGACTGGGGATGTGTCTGTGCCCAGTCTCACCCCCATTTCTGGCAGAATTGAGTTTCTGTGGTTGTAGGACTGAGGCCCTCAGTCCCTCTGGCCCGTGCACAGTCCTGACGTGCTGTGGGCCTCTCATAAGAAGATCGCAATGTGGCTGCCGGGAGGAGGGCGGCACAGCGTCCCACATCTACTACATGATCCCGGGAAGGCCGTCCCATCACCTTTGCTGCATCCACCAGACGGAAGCACGTCACAGCCCTACCCCCACTCGGGGGCGGGGGTCCCACGAAAGCATGAACCCCAGGAGGTGGGGATCCCTGGTGACCAGCTCGGGGTCTGTCACCACAACACCCATGTGGGAAAAGTCCAAAAATCCACACTTGCTGCTCCCCACCGGTCTGCACTGAGTGTGGTGAGTGTTTGGGGGCGTCGTCTGGGGGGGTGTCTGGTTACACCCATGTCACCACGAGTCAGGGCCGCGTCCCCAGTCCACAGTGGCCACTCTGTACTCTTTTTATTTTTTTATTTTTTAAAGATTTTATTTATTTGACAGAGAGAGACACAGCGAGAGAGGGAACGCAAGCAGGGGGAGCGGGAGAGGGAGAAGCAGGCTTCCCGCCGAGCAGGGAGCCCG